TATATATATATATAATTTAATAATATACATATTTAATATATATCATTTTTATTAAGTTTTCATTTTAATTTGAGTAAAAGTTTTACTATTTTTATCATGTTTTTGCAATTTTTATTACTTTTTTAATATGTATATATAATTTTATTAAGTTTTCACTTTAATAAAGTTTTAGTCATTTTGTGTTTTTGTCATTTTTATCAATTTTAGTTTTTAATATGTATATGTATCATTTTTATTAAGTTCTAAATTAAAGTTTTAGTAATTTTTTATGGTTTGTTTGATCATTTTAAAAATATGTTTAAATCATTTTTAATGAGTTTTGTTAATCTAATTAGTTGTTGTTTTTTAAATATGTCTATATAGTTATTTTTATTTATTATTATTTTTTATTTTTTTGTTAAACAAAATAAAATGATAAATGTTGCCTTGGCAACTAGTTGAAATAAGAATGTTTTAATATTAGTTTATGTAATAAAAAAATAGTTTTAGTTTTAGTTAACGATAATAACCCGGTTCTTTCATAATTTTCTCACCTTCATTTTATTTCATAGGCGTATGACTCTTACTTTCTTTGGCAAACAGAAGAAGATATTTAGCTGAATGCTGGTGCTGCTCTCTTCAGTGGAAGTGAAGGTTAGGGTCGTGTGAAGTGAGTAGATGATGAAGTGAATGAGTGAACAGCTGGATGAGATCTGCTGCTGAGCTCATGCTGGAAACAGGTGCTCACATGATGAGAGAGACACAAACACACACCAAATGGCTGTTCATCGTCACATGATACGTCTAGTGCAGTATGGGAACTTCAGCGAGCACAGGAGACATACAGTACAAACCAGTATGACAACTGAACAATTCAGCAGAATTAAGTGATACTCATCTTTGAGTTTGGAGTTCCATCAAGTTTTAATCCTGTATATTTATCATATAATCATTCGTATAACTCGTCATTCTCTGTTTTTATATTATGGGAATATATTCCCAATATTAAAAACAATCAGAAAGTGTTCATTTAGCTAGATTTGAACTAAATTGGTTTACAAATCCAACACTACAAAAAATGTTTTTCTTCCTCAGTATTTTTGTCTTGTTTTCCAGTACAAATTTTTAAACTTTCTTAAACTAAGATGCAAAATGACATAAGATATTGAGTCAAAATAAATAATAATAATTTAGCTTAAATCAGAGGGAAGATAATATTATTTTTCTGCAGATACTTAATTTTGATACATTTTTCATAAAAGACTTAATATCTTATGCAGTTTTGCTTCTTAAGTAAATGTATCTTGATTTAAGAATTAGTAGACATTTGTATTGGAAAGCAAGAATAAAATAAAAATAATTTTTTACATTTTTGAGTAGTCTTTTTGTATTGCTTTCCCATTAAAATATCCACACACAAAAAATCTATTTATTTGAGTAGCAACACTCAGTAAGATTTTTACGTTTTTCTGTGTAAAATGTCATGTTTAATTCAGTGCTACTTGCCATTTCTTTGTAATTATTTGTGAAATTTTTCCGTGTAAAGCCTCAAGATGCAAACATGATCGCAAGTGTGCACAGTCATATCAATATGACGTATAAATCATCAGTAACTCTGAGTGAAGCCTCATCTGACTGAACATAACACAGCGGTCAGAGCATCTTTAACCTGCGCTTCACACAGTCAGTATGCAGTGAGAAAAGTCTGACATCACATGACCCCCATGTGTCATTCATTTATTAGAAATATTACCAGAAATATTCAGTTTTCACAGCAAAACATCACATTCTTAATTCGTACATTTGCTTTTTTTTTTTTTTTTTTTTTAAATGTAAACTTTACTCAATGTTAATAGTTCACGCTTTAATTATATCTTATCGTAAGAGGTTTTCAGCTCGGATG